ATCAGGGGATGCTTGGACCAATGAAGAGAACTGAGAAGTAAAGAAATTTGAGGTCTGAGGAGACATAACATCATGGACAGGAAAAGGAAGGATCAGAGTCCAAGGGCAAAAGTCATGCCTTGGCCAGCTTGCATTTCTGTTGTGCTCTACTTGACTTGTATTACTTCAAGGGCTTAGAGCGCTCCATCACCAAAAAAAGAACACAGCAACCAGGTATGTTCACAAACTACTAAAGCAGAGCTCAAGAGCCTTGCCAAGCATGAGGACCAAAGGCTGCATCTTCTCCAACATGACACTGCAAAAAGGATACAGACTACATCACCAGATGAGGAACTTTAGTACAAGGTAAACAGTAAAGTTCCTTAGTCCTTTTCTGCATCACTGGGGAGACTCAGCCTAGAACTATTTCCAGGTTGTTATCTGGCTTCTTATTATAGATAGAGTACAAACATCTGGACACCTTTTGATCACCAGAGATGTTCACCAGTGCACCATGTGACAAGTGAACACTTCTGCAGTGCTCCCTTCTATGAAACCTATGGATGTTCAATTTTCTCTAGCCCCTTTTCCCCTTCCATGATTTCCTGGATCTTTTAAAATCTCTTGCACAAAAACACGTAAGGGAAATTCTGCAAAAATTTAACTTTTTACACTCTTAAAAACCCTTGCCATTTTCTCCACACCCTCAATTCCTCTCCTTATCCTATCTCTCTGTCACCATCAGCTACCATTAACTAACCAATAACTAACCCCCATTTCATTCCATGCGCAGCCATACAACACTGCATGTTGGTGCCCTAGGTATGCACCAGCTCCATCCTCCCATAGTGCCAGGCTACCAATTTGGCAACAACTTGTAGCTTTTCAGGCACCTTTTAGTGAAAATGTGAAGCCAGGAGTTTTTAGTGTGTATAAAAGAAATGGGGTCAAATTTGGCTCCCGGTGCTGAAAGGGCTGATGAACTTCCTGGGACATAATGGGGGAGAGGAGGGTGGGGAGTCTAAATAGTTCAGGAGAACATTAAATATGTGAAAGTGTGTCTTCGGCAAGAAGCAAAGAAAAATAATTTCATTATGGCAGAAGAAAAGCTGTTGTAATCTCGTCTCTACTGCTCTCTTACCTTTCCACAAGAAGCTGCTTTTCAGTATGAAGCATTTATTGTAAAAGGGACCAGGCAACTGTTTTATAGAAGGCTTTAAAAAAGTAGATAGAAAATGTACACGTCTAATCCCAATCTCACTGAACTACAACAGGCCTTGGGCCTCTTGAACTGCTCCATTCTTCAGGTGGTTGTACACAGTTAGGCAAACCCTACATCCTACCCTGTCAGTATACACTTGACTCTAGACCAGGTGCCTCATGTTGTTTAGACAAATGGAGGTTTACCCGTGTTTCTGATGGTATGCGTATCCAAGTTACATTCATGTAGCTGTGCAGAAGATTAAGCTTTGCCTCCAGAGACAGAATCAAACTGAGGAAGAAAAAGAAAGAGGAAAGAAAACAGATAGATTAATTAGTTTAAAAACTTATATCTGAGGAAAGTTGATGCTTATATTTACCAAGAGAAAAGCTGTTCAGAGCAACCGTAACTCATATCACAGTAACAGAATTGAGACCCACCCAGCTTTTTTTTTCTCAAATCAAGAGAGAACACGAACAAAGCCCTCTCTATT